TTGAGTCAAAAGCTTTGATAATGTATGCCACCTGTAGTGTTTTAAACATAACAATGTTTTATATTGTAAAACAGTCTGAGAGGTAAACAATGTCCTGAGGCTTCTCTGCAATTGTGGGGGTATCTCATATGTTATTTACATTGTGGCATGTTGCTCAATGTTATGGGCTCCTTGAGTGTTAAAGGAAAATAGGTGTATACATCACCGTAGTTACATAAAGAACTAGCCTTCCATTCACAAAATGATTGAAATCAAAAAATAGTATTTAAAAGAATATCAGTAATACCCACCAGTCCAGCAGGCAGAGACTCCAATCTTTGCCAAAATTTGACACTTCCACACACTTAAAGTGTTGGATACCAGCAGTGGTCATAAATCTGCAAAAGAGTGAGCCTTGAAATCACCACCTACAGGACTGGTGTGGATCACTGATATTACTGGTAAGAATTTTGTATATTTTCATAGTTAGATAGTAACATAGTATTTGAGGTTGAAAAAGACACAGGTCCATCATGTTCAACGTGTGTGTGTGTTGTGCGTGCGTGTATCCTGTGTGGTCTAGTATTTAAGTGTAGGGAATAAGCACAAAGAGGGGCGCCTTTCCTGGTGCAGTATTTAAGTATGCTCGTACCCCTGTATGTTACGGTCTCTTAGGATGGTATCTAATTGATTTTTTAACAAATCAATATTCTTTGCAGATACCACTGCTTGTGGCAGAGAGTTCCGAAATATAACCGCTCTAACTGAAAAGAATCCCCTACGCCCCTTTGTGGATAAATCTTTTCTCCACCAATTTTAGGTGGCCTTTAGTCTTTGTTATGGAGTTTACAGTAAAAAGTTTAGTGCCGATGTTGCCATCACCACTAAACATTTTGTACAACAAAATCATGTCCCCTCTTAATCCCCTCCATTCCAGCATGAGCAGGTTTACATTTAGCAACCTTGTCTCATAGCTTTGATCCCCCAGCCCCTTAATTAGTTTAGTTGCCCTTCTCTGGACTCTCTCCAGCTCAAGGGCATCTTTTCTGTAGACTGGTGACCAAAACTGAACCGCATATTCAAGATGAGGCCGAACCAGTGATCTATAAAGTGACAAAATTATTGCTTTGTCTCTACAATACATTCCCTTTTTAATACAAGACAGTACTCTGCTTGCTTTGTTTGCCACCGCCTGGCATTGCATGCCGTTATTCAATCTGCGGTCAATTATGACCCCCAAATCTTTTGCCATTTCTGAGTTCCCTAGTGGAGTTCCCATTAATGTGTAATCCGCTTGCCTGTTTTTAACCCCAAAGTGCATTACTTTACATTTTTCAACATTAAACCTCATCTGCCGTATAGATGCCCACTCCCCTATTTTATCCAGGTCCTCCTGTAATATTATAATGTCTAATCCTGTGTCTATTACCCTCCTAATTTTGCAAAATCTAAGTACATCATATCCACTGGTTTTCCTCTATCCAGATCCCTACTCACCTCTTCGTAGAATGCTAGTAGGTCGGTCTGACAAGAACGGTCCTTCATAAATCCATGCTGATTATTACTTATAATACCATTGTCACAAACAAAATAGTCCTTTATCATTCCCTCAAACAGTTTGCATACAATTGATGTTAGACTGACTGGTCTGTAGTTACCCGGTAGGCATCTTGAACCTTTTTTGAATATTGGTACTACCGTAGCTTTACGACAGTCACTTAGTACCCTTCCAGTCATTTATGAGTCATTGAAAATGAGGAATAATAGTCTCGCTATAACCTGGCCGAGCTCTTATGGTACCCTGGGGTGCAGGTTATCTGGTCCTAACAATGTATTTTCATTAAGTTTTTTCAGTCTTTGTTGAACCCCGGTTACTGTCAACCAGTGCGGTGTCTTACGCACTGAGCTACTAACATTCTTATCTCCATTAAACCGTCTTTTTCCTGTGTATATCGAGGAGAAAAATGAATTTAATACCTCAGCCTTCTCTCTGTCGTTTGAGATTACTCTCCTGTTCTTATTTTTAATTGGGCCTACCTGCTCTTTTCTTACCTTTTTACTGTTTATATATTGGAAGAATCTTTTGGGGTTCTTTTTACTGACTGTGGCGATATGCTTCTCGTAATCTTTTTTAGCTGCCTGGATTTCATGTTTACATCTCTTATTACATTCCTTGTAGCTCTGGAATGCCAATGCTGTCCCTTCCATCTTATAATTCTTAAATGCCAGCTTTTTGTCTTTGATGTGTTGTTTTACCATTTTATTTAGCCTTGCAGGCTTAGTTCTTGATCTTTTATTTTTGTTACCCGAGGGTATGCACTTGGTAATGTATTCCTAAAACAATCCCCCTTCTTGTTAGTGTTCCGTGTTAGAAATAATTTGTCCCATTTGTTGTCATACACCAGATTACGCAGCTTATCGAAGTTTGCCTTTCTGAAATTTAGCTTTCTAGTCAGACAAACACACTTCGCTTTTCTGTACCCATATTTAAAAAAATTACCCTGTGATCACTATTACCAAATGTATCTCTAATTGCTATGTCCTCAACTAGGTCCGCATTATTAGAGATTAATACATCTAGTATAGCATTCCTCCTGGTTAGTGCATCAACCATCTGATCCATGAAATTGCCCCACAACAGGTTTAGGAAATGGTTAGCCTTTATAGAATGTGTGGTTCCATTTGACCAATCAATGTCTGGATAATCACCCATTATAACAACATTTCCCTGCTTCCCAGCCAATTCTGTTTGAGAATGTAGGTGAGCCTCCTCCTCTTCCCCTATATTCAGGGGTTTATAACACACACACCCAAAATAAGTTTACCACTAGATTCAATCTTATCTAGTTCTAGCCACAATGACTCCACACCATCACTACTATCTGCCGTGATGTCATCTCGTCTATGTACAGTTAGGTTGTTTTTCACATGCATGTATACCCCTCTCCCCCTTTTACCAACATAAGTTCAAGCTCCTCTAATTTGTTCGCTAGACTTCTAGCATTCATGTATATACATTTGAGTTTACTGCTAGTGATACGAGATTTGTTATTGCTCATACCTGGTTCACAACTATTTACTTTATCTGACCTCATTATTTAAATATATATATTAATTTAATTCAGGACCAGATATAACTAAAAATAACCTCAGTAAATCCCCAGCAAATTAATACTACCAATCATTAGTAACACAGTTATTACCAAAGTGATTCCCCAGAAGATTAATACCCCCAATGCACAGCAGTTATTAGTAACACAGTTATTACCACAGTGATTCCCCAGAAGATTAATACCCCCAATGCACAGCAGTTATTAGTAACACAGTTATTACCACAGTGATTCCCCAGAAGATTAATACCCCCAATGCACAGCAGTTATTAGTAACACAGTTATTACCACAGTGATTCCCCAGAAGATTAATACCCCCAATGCACAGCAGTTATTACCACAGTAATTTCACACATGATTAATACCCCCAATGCACAGCAGTTATTCTTTTACAGGTTGCTTCTACTTCAATTTCTGTTTGTTTAGCAACAGTTTACTTTACAGATTTACAGTAACTTGAAAGTGTAACTGCACTTTTAGTGACTTTCACCAAAAATTCACTGGTGGAGAATTATTATTATTTGAAAAACATGTACGAGAAAGATTCACCTGCAGTGATTATTTGGTGAATGCCCTACTATTTGCTTTATAAATATTTCCCTTATTGTTTAACCCCCCTGATCCCAGCCCCCCTGCCAGTCTTAGGCTATGGCCTCATTCACACAGCTACATGCTGGCCCGTACAGATCCGTGCTGCGTGCATGGCCGTATCGAGCAGTTCCCGGGAAGGACAGGTGCTGTGTGTGATTTGTATGCAGCAGCCTGTTCTTCTCTGGGAGTATGCGGCCGTACGCCGCCCTATACTCCCCCATAAGCTTGGGCCTACCTGTATATACTGTAAATGTATATGTGTATAAATATGCATATGTATAAAAAGGTGCATATGTATATCAAGTTATGTATACTCACATTTTGTAGCCCAAAATGTTGTGTATATTTGCTCTGAGGTAAATAATGAATGATTATCTTGTGAAAGTTGCAGGGTTAAACAAAAATAAAAATGATTCTGAAAACAACAAATTCACCAAATTCGCCATCATCTTTTACTTTCTTAGCCTTCACTCCTCCCACATTTTGCAGGCAGGTATGCAACTCCTTATCTTTCCTCCCACTTGACAATGCTTGTATTTGCTAATTGTCAACTTATGCACCCATCGCTGTCACATATAAGCAGCTGAATGGATGGGTGGAGGAGTGAACAGAAGCTACACATAAGCTTCTGGTAGGGTTGCCAATAAAGTGACCCTTTTGCTTTGCTCTTCATGGGAAAAGCACAGAATCACTTTAACTGGGATAGAAATGTTTGAACTTTTGTGTGAAAAGCAGGATTTAACCTACAAAGGTAATATCACTTTGTTGGGCTACACATCCTGGTCATTTCTTGAATGATATTTTATCCTTTACCCATGTATATATTTAAAAATAAAGGAATGATGATGTTATTGGACATAACTATGTGAAACGTTGTCTGTATAGAGAAGTGCAAAAAAATGTCATTTGTGATTGATTAAATCATATCTGAATAACTAAAATTACACTTCAAATTCCAGAATGTAAGTAATTTGAAAAATTGTATTCTTTTATGGTCCAATTTTCATGTATTTAATCTTTTCATGCTAGTTGATTATTTTTGTAATTTGTAATATGGATAGTTAGTATGATTTCCAGGTTAAAACCTCAAATTATTACAGGCATGACAAGCACCATGATTAAAAATGCAAAGAGAAAAGAAACGGAAGGGAGATGCTGTCACCTCTTATTTGAGAGTGTACTTTGAAGAACATTCATCCGTGAAGTACTTTCATTAGAAAAGGCCTTTGATCACATTTCAACCATCAGTGAATTTATTTCCTTGAATTTGACATTGAAGTATAAGAAAATATTCCATCTTTTTTGTTACTTATTTTTTAGATCAAGAACAGACCATGCATCGGCTTAGTGCATCTGTTCTGCGCCATTCCATCAATAAAGAGCCAACATTCTGTCTGCCTCTGAAGCAGACGCAAGGTATTTATTTTAGGCTTTTTGTCATATTATTGTTGGGAAAATAGCACAATAACTGGATCACCCCATTTTATTTGTAGGCGTTGTGCTTTACATTGCTGCTTCCTTTAGATAATTGATTTGTGTTTGTGTTTGCATTATCCTAAGTTTTCGAAATAGATTTCTAGTCCCCATTTCCTACAAATATTATAACATACTCTACAGTGAATTATTTAGATAGATTTCCAAACAAATGCTCAGTTTTCTGACAACATTATTACATCAAATAAAATGATTAGATTTTTTAGTTTTTAGCTGATAATATACAATGTATGAATTAAGCCATTTTCATGTGTATTAATTATAAGTATTGTTAGTGATGTATTATTTGTAAACTGAATGGAATACATTTTCAAGGGTCCACAGTGGGTCTAAAAGTAAAACTTTATTTTTTTAGTTTTGGATAGAGTGTGGAAATGTTAGGCCCTTTGTCATGTTTTTATTTTTGTCTGTTTAACCCCCCCCCCCCCCCTCATTTTTACTGGTGACTAATGGTCACTGAGAAATAAAGTGAGGGGAAATCCACAATTTTAGAGTTATGCTCAGAACAAGTGGTAAGGGAAAATATTCCAGTGCAGACAGTTGTTCCAGGGACAAAAGTCTAAGGCAAGTTAAGTCCCTGCTCCCTCCACTGCTGACAGTAACAGAAGCCTAACACTCCACTGCCCTCAGTACCCTTCTCCACAACCCAGAAGCTTGAGCAACTGCACAAATCTTCCTGGACCCAGTGGCTGTGACAAGAGGCCATAGGGAACTGTTTAGGAATGGTGGGCAATGAAAAGGCAGAGAATGCAAGGTGAAAAACGCCTGGCATTTAGTACCACTTTAAGTTAACCACTTTTCTTGCCGTGAATATAAAAAAAATATTTCCAGGCACTAAGGTTAGGAAGTTTAGATCACATGCAGGGTTATTCACAAAAGGGTGAAGAGTTTGGAGAAGACATGAGAAGTGAACAATCTAGGACAACATCACTGAACTGGAAAGTGAGCTGAATTGGAGAATGTTTCCAGTTCAGCTATGTTGTCCTATATTGTTCACTTCTCCTGCCTTCTCCAAACTCTTCACCCTTTTGTGAACAGCCCTGATGTGTACCTGTAGACTGCACACAGTCTATTGTTTTCAGTCGCAGACATATGAGGACTAAAAAATTATTATCTTGCTACATACTTGCTACATAATCTTCTGTAGGTGATAATGAACTACATATAGAAACAAACTTTTTAAAACACTGCAACACAATGGTAAGATTTGTATTATTAAAGCATATGAAAACCCTAAATAAATGTAAATAGTGTGTAATATAAACAATTGCCCAAAATACTTGTTTTTCAATGTATCCATTGTTGCTGATCTCCTGCAGCCTCTGTGTAGCCACTTATTGTCTACATGCATGCACTCCAGAGTTCACTGCATGCCATTTCTCATTGTGGGTTTCCTAATGGTGACAGCAGCAGGCTATACCTACATAATTTGTGTTGAAATGGCCAATATTAGTCTCAATTTGAAGCCTGTGTAATAGGGTGATGACACAGGAGCACAATTGGATGACAGGGACAGAACATTGATACCCTATACCAGGAAATGCCTGAACAAATACTTTTTATGACAGGATCACCAGATATTATTTTATTGAAAGCTGCAAATTTTACATTATTGAAAATAAAAGCTCCTGGTTTTAAATGATTGAACATTACTTTAAAAATGACATTACCATCTTAGTGATTGCGTTTATACATGCTAAGGTAATAATCTGGTAGCTTTCTCATGTATACTAAAAATCAAAATATTAAACAACTTTATTTCCCCTTTAAAGTGAACCTGTCACTATAGTGTCAAAACCTAATTACGCTCACCCTGTAAAAGAAGATGCTGTATACTTACTTTTCTGGCAGCGTGTATTTTCAAACTCCACCACATTGCTGGTCCCCAGCCTGTGCAGGTATCTGGTACTTCTGGCTGGGTCAAAGTCAAATACCTTTTACCCTGCTAAATGCTGTGGTACCTCCCACAAGCTCATATATCCTGCAATTACATAAGAGTTAGAGAGATTGACCACAGTGTACGGCAGGGGAGCAGGTATTCAATACACCCATGAGTGCCGGATACCTGCAGTGGCTAGGGATCACCAATGGGTTTGAAAAAACAAGCCAGTGCAAAAGGAAGTATTCAGCATCTTCTTTTACCGCTTGACCCCAGTTGAAGAAAGACTACAGGAAATGTAAAAGGTAACCCTTGCAATGGGGCTACCCCTGCACTGCAAGGGATAACTGCTCATTTTGGTTTAGGGGCTAAAATAAAGAAAATATACTAATCTGAACCTCAGTCCGGAGGTGTGCACTCTCTCCCTCTCTGCTCTAATGGTAGAATGTCCCTCGGCGTCCTCATATCTAATGCAGCTGCCATAGACATGATGACATCATGGTTCTTTAGAAGGCCAGATCCTTTGAGAGAAGAGGCTGTGAAGAGCAGCCAATCGGGACTAAGGATGAGTATATTTTCTTTATTTTGGCACCAAGACCAAAATGAGCACTTAACCCTTACTGTACAGGTGGTAGCCTCACTGCAATTTTCTGGAGCTCTTCTTCAAATGTAAGCCCTTTAGTGACAGAGTCACTTTAAAAGATCACTGCAAACAAATGTCAGCATCTTTGTATAATATTGTAAACCTTGTTTTAGAATTTAGAAAACCATAAACCTCAGAGTCATGTATCAAAATGTTTGTGGTGCACATAGTAAATAACCATTGAGCAGCATGCATTTTGAAGTTGGAAAATAAAAGAAAAATGATGACTGCTGGCTAATGATAGATAGATGGGCTTCCTGACAGTTCTAATATAGGCCATATCACAATGCAGGACTATATCATGAATCTATGGCTCTTGCTTTTATTCTGAGCCTTATTTTGCTGACTCTGGCTAATGTGCATAAAAAGGAAAACCTCATTTAATGATACATTTTGTGTTCTTTACAGATAATTTTTAGAGCTGATTCATAAGCACAATGTAGGCAAAGTAGCTTATAATTGAAGTGTAAATTATGTTGGTATGCTATGTCAATGACAAATAAATTAACTGTGATAATCCTAAATAACAAAAGGAAAGGTTAAATCATAACATAGCTAACATATTTAAATATTTACTCTTTTTTATGTATCAATAATATATTTGTTAAACATTTGTTTAGTTGGCTTTGTTGCTTACACTTTGAGCAGCATGATATATCCCCTTTGTAAGCTATCACACCATTTCTTTGGCCATCTACAATGTACTATGTGTGCTCATTTGGGCATGTTTTTCTAAGGTTAATAAAGACAAGTCGTTGCTTATTACCAATTACACCTTTACCTTGGCTGCTTAGAATGCATAAGCCGCTTAATAGCTATTATAGGTCAACGTTAAACATTTACCACCAACATCTACGTTGTACAAAGTTAAGAAATTGTAGACCCATTTGGGAAAGATTTTAAAGCCCAACTTCAGTCAATGTTTTTGTTTTAAAGCTGTGGGTAGTGGGGAAGGAATGGGAAATCTGTAATTTTTTTCTGTATGTTTCTCTAAATGTATCTTAATTTCTGTCAAATTCTGGTACACAGGGTGTACACCACATCTGGAACATGCCTTTAGACACAATCAATACCATATTGACACAGCCAAAAAAATATCCACAGATACAATCACTATGATACTGACAGTACCAGAAACAAGATCACAGACACAATCAGTAGCATACTGACACAGCCAGAAACATGTCAGCAAGCACAATCAGTACAGGAAAGCACAGGCTAAAGTGACACTAAACTCAGGAGTTAAAGCTTAAAAATTCATTCAAGTAGCTTCACTATTAACAAAAATTTATATTATTTGTGTATCACTCGGCTGTAGATCCTCAAATAATTTCTGAATGGGTGCTGACACTGTCCTTCCTTCTGAAAGGTGTCTACTTTTGTTCCCCATGGTCCCTGTGTGTGTTGTAAAGTAGCCACCACTCCAAGCTCACGCCTGTGATGGACTACAATCGCAATACAAATTAGTAAACTAAACATGAGATGAGTGAGATTACCAAGTTTTTTTACAATTATATTTGTGTGTAAATGTAATTGGGAATGAAAGTTTCTGTGCCAAAAAATATCATGCCCTACATAAACACATACGGCTAACTAGATTCATATATTCTAGTTATGACATTACTCCCCAGAAGTCAAAGCCATCTTTTATGAGCCTTTGTGTTATTATAGTTATAAAAGCTATGCAAATTAGCATTATACCATGTTTGCTGTACGCAAAATATAATTTCTTGTTAGACACAAGCATTTAGATGGGTTTTTTCACTTTTTTTCTAAACAAAACTGACAATTTTTTTAATGATTTTAGTACATGAATATTTTTTTTCCAGATAATCTATTGGTATTCCATCTGGAATACACAGAACTGGGCTAATTCACAACAGAGATATCATGAATTATTTATCTCAAAGTGTATATTTTATTATAATAAAGACATCACACTATAGGAAAGTAAATTAGTATAATGAAGCAAAAATATTATCATCTGTGAAACCTGATCAAACATAGTATTAACACATCTGAAATCCATTTGCACCTAAAACAAAAGCAATTTCATTTTCCCATTGTCAGAAATATTCAGCTTTATATTTGCTCACATGAACAAGATTAATGAGATGGAGAGCAATGCAGATATGTGCTTATACATTTTACAAACAGTGTTGATAGTTTGAATTGCCATACTTACTCTTAGGCAGTACAAAATTGTTAAAACGAGTTTTAAAACAAGGCAGGAGAACATAGGACGTTGTGAATTATACAATTAACATACATTAGTGTAAAGTGTAACTTTATTTTCGTAATAGAAAAAAATCATATTGACAATATTAAAATCTATGCAGTAAATAAGAATGCAGGACATATCAGGGTTATTCACAAAAGGGTGAAGAGTTTGGAGACAGCAGGAGAAGTGAACAATCTAGGCCAAAATAGCTCATTTAGAAAAATTCTCCAATTCAGCTCGCTTTCCAGTTCAGCTACAGTTGTGTGAAAAAGTGTTGGCCCCCTTCCTGGATTTTCATTGTTTTGCACATTTGTCACACTTTAATGTTTCAGATCATCAAACAAATTTAAATATTAGTCAAAGATAACACAAGTAAACACAACATGCAGTTTTTAAAGGAAGGTTTTCATTATTAAGGGAAAACGAAATCCAAACCCACATGGCCCTGTGTGAAAGGTGTGTCCCCCCCCCCCTTTAAAACATAACTTAACTCTGGTTTATCACACCTGAGTTCAATTTCTCTAGCCACACCCAGGCCTGATTACTGCCATACCTGTTCGCAATCAAGAAATCACTTAAAAAAGACTTGAATGACAAAGTGAAGTAGACCAAAAGATCCTCAAAAGCTACACATCATGTTGACATCCAGGAACAAATGAGAAAGAAAGTAATTGAGATCTCTCAGTCTGGAAAAGATTATAAAGCCATTTCTAAAGCTTTGGGACTCCAGCGAACCACAGTGAAAGCCATTATCCACAAATGGCGAAAACATAGAACAGTGGTGAACCTTCCCAGGAGTGGGCGGCCAACCAAAATTACCCCAAGAGCGCAGCGACGACTCATCCAAGAGGTCACAAAAGACCCCACAACAACATCCAAAGAACTGCAGGCCTCACGTGCCTCAGACAAAAAGTTTTCTTTAGCTCTTGGCGCTAATGGCTGCCAGCTGAACAATCCACTTGCTGTTGCACACTCAAAGTTTTCAACAGTTTATCACAGTTTTTTACACAGACTTGAGGGGCTGCTCATCCAAGGCTCTGGGGCTTCCACCACGAACATAGAAAACAAAAGGGAACAGAGCGCCACCTCCGTGTGTAAAATCATTTATTACAATAAATAAAACAAGGGATAAAAGTACTCACAAACAAACATTTTCATCAGGCTTTAACAACAAACATAGAGAGGCCATACTGTCTGTTAACCCAACATGATATCCCCCCGACTATGTAACACGGTAGTCTCCGGTCACATCACCGTCCACCGACCGCAGTCAGCCAAGATTGACGCGTTTCAGGGGCAAGCCCCCTTAATCAGAATCATGATGATACACAAGTAAACACAACAAGCAGTTTTTAAAGGAAGGTTTTTATTATTAAGGGAAAACAAAATCCAAACCCACATGGCCCTGTGTGAAAGGTGTGCCCCCCCCGTTAAAACATAACTTAACTCTGGTTTATCACACCTGAGTTCAATTTCTCTAGCCACACCCGGGCCTGATTACTGCCACACCTGTTCGCAATCAAGAAATCAGGTTTAGGGGGCAAACACTTTTTCACACAGGGCCATGTGGGTTTGGATTTATTTTTCTCTTAATAATAAAAACCTTCCTTTAAAAACTGCATGTTGTGTTTACTTGTGTTATCTTTGACTAATATTTAAATTTGTTTGATGATCTGAAACATTAAAGTGTGCCAAAAAAAATCAGGAAGGGGGCCAACACGTTTTCACACAACTGTATGCTGTCCTCGATTGTTTACTTCTCCTGCCTTCTCCAAACGTTTCCCCCGTTTGTGAATAACCCTGTATATCTTTTTATCTTTTTTATGAGAGCAGAGCTTATATGTTTATTTTTTTCTTTTACTGATCACATACAATATTTTTTTTTGAGGTCTTATATTGTCATGAAAACAGCTTTTGCGCTGCATTGATGAGCTAGGGTATATGACTGAATTAGAGCAGTAATGAAGATGGTTACCTCATTATTAGTGCTGTTTTGATCATCTTGGTCACCTTCAAAATAATTAATCTGCAATATCAGTACAGTACTTATTCATATGTTGCTAAAGTATGGACTTTGAATGCTGTATGTACTATTTGAGTACAACCAGACTTGGAATCAGATCATACCTAAATATTTACAATTTTACTTGCTTTAAAGATCAGTGATATTTGCCTTTATTGAACTGACCTGCAATAAAATGAGGGTAATGCATCAATTAACACTTTGGAATACAACCCCCAGTATATGCTTCAGAAATTAAAGATATTAAATATTTTACTTTGTACATTTATAATTTCTTATAATGCTATTTCTCTGGTTTTGAATTTTCCATATTTATATGTGTTCCATAGGGATTCCTTTAGGTCCAAAGGAGAAGCTTGATATACCAGTACTATTTGCACCTGATACAATGAAACTTTATGAGGCTTTATTAGTTGTACACATGGTAAAAGCAAATGGAAACAACTGGGACCACAACAATTTTGAAGATTTAAGTACAGAACTAAAAAGGCAAGTAGCTTTCAACTGTTATATAAGTTCTCCCCTAACACAGGAAAGAGGAAGGATCAGTGAAACCCTTGTCTCAGGTAGAGGCTGGTTGGTAGAAAGGGGTCAAATATAATTTAAATTGTCTAAACCTTTCTTTTTTTTTATTTGAATAAAGTAGGGAATGGTTAAAGCAAGGTCAATCTTCTCTTAGTTGTCATAGTATTTTTCCTTAATTTCAATCCCAGTGACACTGGTCACCAGAACAAATAGAGTGGGTAACCCTCTCTATTGTGCGTCCAGGGATAGTGATTGCTTCCTAACTGCATGTAATTGTATCACATATGGAGCACATATTCAAATGCAGCGGCTGTCACCCGATCATTAAAGGGTTATTAAACCCTCAGCAGTTTTTGCATATATCTACTGCTAGTAAGCAGTAGATATATGCAAAAACATTTTTTTTAAAACCTTGCAGTTCAGATGTTCGGCCGGGAGACGAGGAGAGACACAAGGTAAGTATATGGAGCAGCGTGCACCCGCACAGACTACGTGGGACATCAGAGGAGAAGAGGACAGAGGAGTCAGCGCTGGAGCACCTGTTTTTACATTTTGGGCTTTTCCCGCCCGCGCGCAGGGGCATGGCTGAGCGGACAGCTTAAGATGCCCGCTCAGATCTAGAGAGCTACAGGAGGGCCATTTTTTAAACAACGGCTGGCCGGGAGGTGGTTAAGAATGTCCTACTTATAGAAAACTCCCTGATTAGAAAACAGTCTGAAAAATGACAAATAATAAAATGCTCAAATACATTAATAATTTGTTTCATACTAACATTCTGTAGATGGTCAAACACAAATGTTATCTGCATGGTGCAATTATTTTGTATTGCTGCTATTAATGTTTAGCAACATTTCTAGTGCTCTGATACATGTGGCAAGTTGTAGGAGTTGATAATTAACTATCTGTGAGTCATTAATTTAAATATCTATTGAAATTTTATAACTAGCACTGTCCACTGGTGTTTGTACTCTCTGATTAAGTGGATATTTAAAAAATGCATCAAGGTATTTCATTCAGCTCTGTTCTGTCTGTTCTTGGATTCACAATATGAGCCTGAGAAAGCACCCTATTTGGAGCGCTGATTCCTGGAGTGTAGGTAAGCCTCTTTCTGCACCTACAGACTGTTAAAAGATGTAATGCATCCCTTTGCACCCGAGCAATACAGTTTACTGTAGTGAGTTCAACAAAGGGTATGCTATCTATATTTATTAAGAGTTACAGCAATGTGAACTTTGTTATTTCTTTTTTTAAATGAACAATTAATTATTGTATGGTAATATAATTTACACATTCCAAAATATGCCCAAATGAAATATGAAAAATTTAAAATACATTTAGAGTAGACACTGTCATTTACAAGATTAAATCTGTAAGTGTGTTTTTTCCCCTAAATGTTTCAGATTAAATATTAAAATAGTCATCATTTTATTTGCAGCATATCAAAAACTGAAGATGGAGCTATTTCTGGTATCCGATGGATTTACCCAGTTCATGGAATTCCAGAAGCTCAGCCATCAAAATCAAGTCCAGGTATCTTTATCTATATATATATATTCCAAAGCATTTATGCATTTTTACATTTTAGTTAATAGCAAAAGAAGCAGAGAGGGCCAGATTCAGACAAAAATGCAAATTCAGATGAAATTTTGTAAATTCGGACATTCAGATACATCAAAATTAATCAAAATTAAACTAAATCGGACACGTCACTGTTTTCTGGCCAATCAGAAAACCCCATCCGAAACCAAAACGAAATTCTGAAAGATCCGAATAATGAAACAAAATGGTGTTTGGACCGGAAAGAACTGGTATGTGGTTTTGAATTTCCTTACCCTCAGTGTACTTGTTCTTCTAAATACTGTTGGAAATGATAGCAGTGGTTAGGTGTGGATCAAACATCACAATTTGAGATAAAACCATGGGCTGAATTGCAAGGACTAAATCTCCTGGGGGGCACATTATGTCTACTGTGGGCTGCAATATGTTTACCTACCTCATGAAAGAAAAAAATGAAGGCACTTTGTAACTTAACATTATAGTAAAAATTGCAACCTACACTTTTTACTCTCTGAGAAAGTGGCAAAAATGCTGAAGCATTTAACTGCAAAATTAAGGAAGTTCATTTAGAACCTAGGTGACAGCTGGGGTGCATTATTTTTTTTTTTTTTAATTTGTAAACCACTGGCACAGAGAAGTAGGAAGAGGGCAACATAAGGCCCAGAAAACACCAGTTTGATATGCCTGCTGTAGACTGAAGAGGAGGACACTAGAGGTATTAATACATTTTGCTGAACATCGAGAGCTAACAATACAGATCACAGTTCCAAGATTGAATTCTTGTTTTTATAGGTAGTAAGATATATGAGATAATCTAACTCTGTTCAAACATGATTTAATTTAATCTGTTGCAAAATTAAAGTGGGTTGCTCAAAATGGTAAATATCAAGCAGGAATTTGTTTCATCATGTGATGCACATAAACAATAAACTCCTGAATATGCAAATCTTGCATGTTTATTAATAAAATGCACATTATTAAAGACAGATCACAGTGATTGTTACTTTCTGTGAAAAGTTATCTCCTGCTGATTACCTGGTCTGTAATCACTTGTGAACAGCTTAATGATCTAAGAATGTGTAAAATTCGGCAAAGCTTTAATTAATTAGGTTTTTTTTTTAGCAATAACATGTCTTGATGAAAAAAAATCAAGAAGCAAAAATGTGTATTCCCTTGTATTTTAAGAAAAAAATCTTTTTTTGTTTTGGAAGAGTATGGAAATGTTAACCCCCTCCCCCATCAGGTTTTTAATGCTCCTGTAAACCCACAGGGGAAAATCACCCTCTCTATCTGCCATGGTTACAATTATCTCCAGTACAGAGATTGATGAGAAATCCCAACTTTTAGAGTTGTGAGAAGAAATCTTTTGATGGGGGCATCTGTTTCAGTGACAGCTATCTAAAAAGGGATTTCCCCTAACTTTGGAGAATTTTTCTCTTACTTCCCTTGCGTCATTGGGAAAGGAAGTGAAGGGGAATCACAGAGAGCAAAACCAAATCTTACCAGGGTCTTAACTATTCCTACCTCTATCCAAAATAAACGGTTTGGCTTTTTAGCTTTTAACTCATGCATTTATTGTGCTTGCATAGAGGAATTTGTTTACTTAGAAGAGAACTATAACCAAACCTTTTTGAATTTAGTTCTCTTGGATCACAGGAGTACATTTACAAGTCAGGATCTAGCAGGCATATTTCTTACTATATGCTGACAGTGCAGAGCAGCCAGGAAAAAAACCTAACAATATTGTCAGCATCCACCCCACTGCTTGATTGACAGTTGGCTCTGCCTCTCTATAGCCAGAGCCAGCTGTGCCCACTCCTCCCCTGCCTGTCCTTCCAGTGAGCAATGGAGGAACAGAGAAAGGGAAAGGTGGAATCCCTGTGGGAAGAGGTGAATGACAATCACTGCTCACTGCAGGAAGAAGCTGTGAGTTGAGCAATTAGCGTTTTGTGATCGCACAGTTTTCTTGCTATAGAGCTAGCGTGTGACAGCTGCAGTGTCACACAGCAGCTAAAACTATAGTATTTCAGTTTAACTGAAAAATATGTAGATCAGAGTTCAAGTTACAGATTGAATTTTAAAAGTTTAAAAAAGCAGTAATTTCCCTTCTACATTCAATGTTTTCTTTTAAAATCTATTATGTTCAACTTTCTAGCAAAGTTTTATTTAGTTGTGTGGAAAATGTTAACAATCCACCATTATTCTTAATTGTTTAGTGATGTATCTAACATTAGAATCTTGTCCCAGACATCCTTACAGTACAAGGACAATGATTAGCTAACATTATTTGCATGACCGTATGGACTTTGAAAAAGGCCATCTTAGAAATTATCTATATGCCATTTTATAATGTTTTATATGACTTATAATGCGGTTCCCATTGTCAAAATCGGTGGGCTTTTTTTACTATTAGGCCCCAGCCTGCGAACACTTTTGTGAGACTTTTGTGGAAGGTCTGACTTGCATTCAAATGAGGCTTATATATCGAACACTTGACAGTAACTGCTGCACCAAGTATTTCATGCTGAGTTTCTAGGTACTCACATGCCTGCAAGCCTGATTTCTTTCAAGGAAGGCTGCATGATTCCTAAAATCCAAAGGATTTTCTAATAATATCTACATTGATGATACAGCAATAATCAGTTCAGTGAAGAGTTTGTAAGCTGTGACAACCAGTGAGGGTTCCCATGTTACCTTGCCCCAAGCATTGCTGAAAGCACTTTGTTTTTTACTAACTTCTATTAAGCTTTAATGAGACCTGACATACCAGCTATAAAAACAGCTGCTAAAATATTTTCAGGAGCATTTTTAACAGAGATTTACACTCTTCACAATGCAGAGTCTAAGCAGGATTTCTCAGCAAGAGACTCTTAGCACAGAAAACATGTCTAAGCAAAACAGTGCTACTAAAAATGTTCTTAATCTTCCACCTTTCTCAAACTGTACCTTAAAGACCATGTCAGAGTAGCGATTATATCTCTCTGCTACTGCTTCCTTGCTGGTAAGCAAGATTTTGCAGTATTTCAGCCAGTGAGGGAGCAACAACACGGAAGCAGCTGTGCGTTTATGTTAGCAATCTTGTTGTTAATAAGTTGCCAGCAGCAATATGAATGCTAGCCTGACGTAGGCATGAAATGTAATATCAACCCTAACATCCAGTTCTTACTATGTACCTAGCATTTGAGCTAACCTTTAACTCTGTCCCTGTGAATTACTTTGGGCATATACTGGAACAAAAATATTCCCAACTGGTCATCTCAGTATGCCTAACGTCAGCTGCATTCAACCTTCTGCTATAAGCTCCTAGTCACTTCTGCAACCATAAGCTTATAACAGAAGGGTCCCCATGACTCTTCTGTGTAAATGAATAGCTGTCATCAGCTGCTGCTATCCATTTTAAATCATCCACACACACACCCCACCCCTCTACCGCTGCCACTTGATCATCCCCACTGGGCACTGGCAGTCTGTATCCTGCATGTCCTCCTGTGTCCCCTCCGATCCCCACTGCTCTCTCCCACATGTATCGGCAGAGACAGCAGAGATCAGAGAGGACACAGACCGGAGCATGCAGCTGGTGCCCTATGGGGAGGAGAGAGCTGTGGAGAGAAGAGAGATGCAGTGACAGATGAGAGGGGGGCTGAGCACTTCAGGATGCTGATCACAGGATCAGCAAATATGAGACATCCTTCTCAATACTGATCACTCCAGTGTTTATTCACAACTGAGGAGATAGTATACGTCACTTTTTGTTCATTCATGTCTGGGCACATAGTAAAAACTTACTGTCTCTACAGTTTACAAATGGATAGGAGGTGCTCTGCACATGTCACTTCCTGTCCATTCATACCTGGGGAGATAATAATCATACTATTTCCTCAGTTTGTGAATGAACAGGAAGCCTCTGTACTAAGTAATTCCTGTTCATTGAGTGCTGGGGCTGCAAAAAAGGAGATTAAGGACTCAATCCCTTTTTCTTTTTTGAAAAGGGAATAAACAGACCTCTGATATTTCTTTAACGCACCCTTTTGATAATGTAAAATAATAATGATGATGATGATAATAATAATAATCAAAATGTAAACAAAATGTAACAAATAGTTAAAAAGCAATACACACACGACATGCAACCGTGTGCACCATAATTTGGTGTATATTATGCACATGTGCTGCTGTGTGTTGTTAGAACACATCTCAGTGCTTGATTCCTTCTTTTTTTACATCTTAAAAAATAAGTTCAACTGCATGGCAGCACATGGCAAAGCATTGCAATGCATTGCTGTGCACTGTAGTATTCTGCATTGCAGTTAAATGTATGCCTGTGTTATTTTATTGCAACACACACCAATGCAGTGCACAAACAGCACTGCAGATCAAGTGTTACCACAACAAATGTGAGGCTAACCTCCAGGATTTTAGCATAAGTTATTTATTTACAGTTTTGGGCAGCTTTGTTTTTACCGTTTTGTAAAAAGGCGCAATTTAAAATGTACAATTTATTTATTAACTCAATACAGTTTTAGCTTTTAGATTTAGTAGGGATCTTGTAAATTATGTTTTTTTGTGTTCACTGATAATTATATTAGTGTATTTGTATAGAAAATATTGATTTGATAGACATTTGTGCAACTGTCTTGGGACCTACAAAATTAGTAGCAATTAGCATGTTTTATTCTACTGGTCCTGTGCTTTCATAAAATGTATGATTTGGAGTATTTTACTAGCTCTGAAAGCTGCAGTTGAAAATAAAAACGGTAAAAAATTTCAAAAATGCCAGTTGAAGTTCAAAGTGGAGTGCAGGGCCTGGGAGCAGAAGGGTTAAACGTTATACTATAAATATCACTCTAATATGTAAACTATCACTAAGAAAACCTAAATGCTTCTGACCCACTTCAGGTGATGTGGTATTCATCCCAATGGAGAGGGAATTTAAATCTGTTAATGCATGGAGATACAGATATGCATAGATCTTGTGATCTTGGGCTTTTATAACATAACTGAGAGAATCATGGCTAAGCAAAAGAGAAAAGGATGCGTAGATTAGGATTTTTAGTATCATTGTGGTTTTATTATTTATTTATTTTGTTTGTTATCACAGACCATAGTTACATAGTTAGTTTGAAAAAAAGACACGACTGCATTGAGTTCAGCCAATAGAGAAAACAATAAATAGAAAACCTCCATAAATAGAACCATATACTCACAGTTGATCCAAAGGAAGGCAAAAATTAATAACACTAAAAATAAGTGTTTTATCTTTCCAGTATGTGCTGTATGTTTATAACTTAAATGTAATTAAATCATATTATGGTCACTGCTACCCAGAATTTTCATACAAATATCTGTAATCAGCTTCACATTGTTTGAGATTAACGAATCCAGCAAAACATAATTTCTAGTTGTGCCTTTTATAGACTTTATCAGAACATTGTCTCATAAAATTGTAATCAGTTTATAAATGTCTGCCCTTTTACTGTTGCAGGAGTGCTGTAACACCAGTCAATTGCAGGGTCGTTAAAATTTGCCATTATTTCCACTGTTTCAGCACTTGAACCCTTTCTATATAAGTAAGGAGCAGTTTATCTACCTCCTCATTAATACTAGGGCCTGTAACAAATTCCAATAATTACATTTGCAGTATGCATAACCCACATATATCCTCATCCATAATGCCTCAGCACCAGCACACTCTCCATCAACAAGGTCCTCTTTCACGATCACGTATATCAGTTGTCACATAGAGGGAGATGTCACCGCTTTTTACCCTGTCTCTCCAAAAGTGAGCACAGTCAGGAATACTAACAGCCCAGTCATGTGAAAAACAAAGCCAAGATTGAGCATACCAATTAAATATAGGGCTCTCCTATATAGAATGTGAACTCTCATATTTTGCTTGGCAGACTTCTGGTATTGGTGAAAAAACACTTTAATCTATTGCTGCATTTTTGTAATAACCATATTTTTTTGTAGTATAACCAGTATTGTAATTGCCAATGTTTGTTTGTAACATGGGAATCTCCTTATCCACTGCCATAGCCCTTCCCTTATTTTCCCCTATTCTACCCGTCATTAGTGTCTAACCCCTGTCTGACCTATTTGCCCCATTATATTCTAAATCTCTTCCCCCCTTCCCCCCTCTGTCCTAGTTTAAAGCAGACCTTAACTTTAAAATTGACGTTTCTACCATTTTAGCTCTCCCCCAACCTAAAGGGTATGGTATAAATTTGCGGGGCTGCACACTTTTTTTGGCATTTGGCCCCCCTCAAATTCCTACCTGGTAGGAATTTGGGGGAACCCCACACTGTTGTTTTTCCAATTTTCATGTTTAACATAACCTCTGCTTGTAGTGCTTCACAGACACCTAGTGCACTAGTATGTAAACCACAGAGTGGTGTACAGGTCCAGGGCCATGATGCAGCATCTGGCATGATCAAATCCCCTAAAGCACATGTGTCAAACTTAAGGCCCAGGGGCCGAATCCAGCCCTCCAGGCCATTTCCTAGACTTCTACTTTCAGATCTAGGTATTAAGTTATTACTAAAACCAGTGAAAATCAGATGCAGAGGCAATTATGATAAAGATTAGATACATTTATATAGTCTTACAGATACCTTTGAGGGCAATCATAATGTTGATGCGGCACACGATTAAATTGAGTTTGACACCTCTGACCTAAAGAGTCTATTGGTAATAGGCCAATGGAGAAGATAAATGATTCCTTTAATGTAAAATGTTCACTGGGTTCATTGGCACTCTCCAGTACTCTGGTACTGTGCTTGTTTGCTGCAGAATGCTCTCCAGGTCTGTGCCTATGGTAAGTTTTGGGCTTTTCCCTGTATGAGCATGATGCATTATTATTTTCTATCTTGCTATGGTTCTTCATTGAAAGTGTTATCTCTTATCTTTTCATTAAGTGCACACAAATTTCTGTTGATCCTGCCAGAAATCACGTGAGCTGATAACTTCCTCTTCTATCTATCTGTGCTGACTGCAATCAGTTAGCATTGTTTCCAATTCTCTCTGTGGACTACAGAATCCCTCCCCCCATATAGTCATAGGACAACAAGGCTGCTCCTCCACAGAACCAGTACAGTGAGTAAGAGTTGTCACCCAGGAACAAAAAGTGTGTTACTGGCAGGATCATCAGGTGAAAGTAAAGGAAAGAAAGACTGAAAAAAGGATACAAGTGTAGTCACTACATCCAAGGACTAATAATCTTCAATATATATTTGGTTAAATTGGCTTCAATTTTTTTAGGTTAAGCTTGATAACAGCATATTTTGGTGTCATTGTGCATATAGATCTCATAGCAAATAGACTTAATATCTGGGGGCAAAACATGCTGTGAGAAATATAAATGTGGCATGTCCCAAGCAAGAGACATGTAGGCTCAGGTAGTTACTCTTATCACAAGTTACAGACTTTTGCACCATGTTCTAAACTAGGTACACTATTTACACAAAATAGAGACATTAAAATGTCATTTTAATGACATAATACTTTGACAGAGGATTGACCTTTAGTATTTTTTGTTTTACTGTCCTATTAGTCTCTATTCAGTTGTCAGTACCATTCTGCCCTTGTGTTCCAGTAAAATAAAATGTTCTTCATTCTGGAAGGCAAAACTTCATAATTTTGACATGAACTGAAAATATAACTGACAATATATTATTGTGGTTGCATTAGTTATAAACAATAAGCATTACAATACTGGAAATCTGAGGGCACAAAATAAAGAAGAATACAAAATTATGTGAGGTTTTTATTTCTGTGTGTGACCCCTTTTGGGGGGACATTCATTTGCAGACCCTATCATCCTTGTAAGAAATGGAAGCATGATGGTCTTCAAAAATTGAACACATAGGCGGCAGAAAAACACTGTCAGAAATTGTAACTATCCCTCAATCAACTAAAATGTGTTTTGCATTTGTCTGTGTCCCCTGGATGTCCATTCACTACATATACTGACAGCAAGCAATGGAAATGTTCCCAATAGTAGCCCAGATTCCAATTAAAACTTGACAGATTTTAACCTGACCCTAACCATTCATGGCTCTACTCAATAAAAAACAAAGTACAGTTTTGGCTGGAGTTGCCTTTTAAATAGACTATACTTTTCCGAAACAATACCTAGAGATAATTAAGCCGTTCTGCCTAATTCCAGAAACTCTCCAGATCAACCTGTTCTGTTTCTCAGAGATAAAGCATAAAGATGGGGATACATTTGTTGGTACCATTACAACTCCTTGAAACAACACCGCTGGAAAGTGATGAGCTTAAAAGCAATTGTCTCTTATATGATATGTCATAGAGTAAAGAAATTAAATGATGAAAAGGGATTAATAGTTTCTAATTCCACACAGACATTCGAAGAGGGCCTAGACAGACCTGTTAATACCCCTAAAAAAGATAACTGGATCATGAAGATATTTTAAACAAACTGTTTTCTGTTATTAGTGTCACACACGCACACTGGTCTTTGATCCTGTAATCAGTTAGTCAGGGCATGAGTAGTACTCTGCTGTTAGGAATAATATGTGTGCTACACTTAACAGTGCAAAAGCAAAGAAGAGAGTTGTCTGAGGGGATCAGAATGGAAATTATAGACCAGCATGTCAAAGGTAAATGCTATAAGACCTTATCCAAGCAGCCTAATGTCCCTGACACTACAGTGCAAATATCAATAAGAAGTGTAAGGTCCAAGGGAGTGTAGCCAACCTCCCTGGATATGGCTGCAAGAGGAAAATCGACCCCAGAGTAAACACAAAGAGAGTATAAATGGTAGACAAAGTGCCAAGGAAAACTTCCCAAATGATACAAGCTGAACTCCAAGGTACATGAGACAAAAATCAAGCTTTTTGGCAAGTCACATCAACTCATATGTTCACAGATGAAAAAAATAAGAACACTGAACCTACTGTGAAACATGGAGGGTCAGTTATGTTTTGGTGCTGCTATGCTGCATCTGACACAGGTTACCTTGGGTATGTATGGGCACAATAAATCTCAAGACTATCAAGGAATCCTGGAGTAATATTTATATTGTATAATATATGTATACATAATATTTATATTACAAAAAAATAGAATAAACAATGATGGATTCCAATTACTTCTGTTAGTTTCAAGTTATTTTAGAGAAAATTAAGGGTCATTCTTTTTTCAGGGAAGGGTACCAACAAATTTGTCTACGTCTGTAAGGCAGAGTTTAAAGTGACTTTGTCATGAGAAAAGTATGGGAGCTGCAGTTTTTGGCCTCTCGTGAGGATGTAGAAACATACAGTATATAGAAATATAAAATTTCCTCACCCAGCTGCTGCTTCTTCACTACCTAATTAGCAGGGTTGGACACAGAGAGATGACACATGCTGCATTAATTAATTGTTAGATAAAAAATTATGTATTCTCCCGAAATGTATTGTGTGGCAGAGGTGTGCAAATATCAGGACTTAATAGACAGGAATGCAAATCATTTGGCTGATAAAATATATTTTTATATGTATTTCTATGTAATTCGAATTGGTTGTACGTAAGGATTAGAAAACTTTTTTATAAATGAAGCCTGTCTTTAAGGTCACGGATATGAGTTTTCCTATTTCTCTAGTTTTATCCTGTATAGCTTGTGGTGTTATACAAGCAAGCACAATCATAAGCATGCACAATCTATCCTCATGCCAAAATATTATTTTAAAAGGAACATGCACAGACATTTATAAGCTAGTATCCTGAATTAATATGTATTGAACAGACTCATGTGCCCAAAGCCTTCCATATCTAGAGCTATTGTTGCAATTATCTAGGAGTATTCAATCCAAAACTTTTCCTACTCAGAATAATAAAGGTATCTAATCAGATGTGGAAGTCGCTATAGAAGATAGCAATTGCTACCCAAGCCTGTTGAGGTAGGCCATTTGGATCATGTCTTTGGGTACCCTTATATCTGCCTAAAAGGAGTTTAGTAACTATTCTCAGACAAAGTTTTTTACTGTTGAGTGCCAATTATAAGCAAGAGGAAAACTTCCTCTCCTAGAACTATGAGAAGCTATGAGTGGAAAAGTTGTGAGATACTGTAGATATCAAGTATTTACAGGGTCCATGAGGTAGAAAACTTTTCTCTGGCACTCTTCTATCATGTCACTGGAAAGGTGATTTCCATCAATGCAGCAGGTCAGTGCTCTTATATTAGTTTTGTTTGGAGGTTAATAACTGGAGAAAATTAATGATACCAAACAGATTCATGCTAGTTCAAACAATATGGAAAACCTCCCTGTAAAACATAGTGAGGAGAATTTATCAAAACTGGAGCAGACTGAATCTGGAGTAGTTGCCCATGGCAACCAATCAGTTTCTATGTTTAATTTTCAAAGGTTAACTGAACAAACTGAGGATAAAAGCTGTCTAGTTGACATGGGCAACTGCTTCAGATTCTGTCTGCTCCAATTTTGATAAATTCCCCCAATGTGTTTATTTTGCTTATATGTCTATATACACTATATTGCCAAAAGTATTGGGACACCCCTCAAAATCATTGGATTCAGGTGTTTCGTGACATATCCTTGCTACTAAATATTCCACGATCAACTGTTAGTGGTATTATAACAAAGTGGAAACAACTGGGAACAACAGCACATGAGCCACAAAATGGTAGGCCACGTAAAATGACAGAGCAGGGTCAGCGCATGCTGAAGCGGACAGTGCACAGAAGTCGCCAACTGTCTGCAGAGTTAATAGCTACAGACCTCCAAACTCCATATGGCCTTCAGATTGGCACAACAACAGTGTGTAGAGAGCTTCATGGAATGGGTTTCCATGGCCGAGCAGCTGCATCCAAGCCTTACATCACCAAGTGATGAAGAAGTGGAGACGCGTTCTCTGGAGTGACGATTCATGCTTCCCTGTCTGGCAATCCGATGGACGTGTCTGGGTTTGGCGGTTGCCAGGAGAATGGTACTTGCCTGACTGCATTGTGCCAAGTGTAAAGTTTGGTGGAGGGGGGATTATGGTGCGGGGTTGTTTTTCAGGGCTTGGCCCCTTAGTTCCAGTGAAGGGAACGCTTAAGGCATCAGCATACCAAGACATTTTGGACAATTTCATGCTCCCAATTTTGTGTGAACAGTTTGGGGATGGCCCCTTACTGTTCCAACATGACTGCGCACCAGTGCACAAAGCAAGGTCCATAAAGACATGGATGAGCGAGTTTGGGGTGGAGGAACTTAACTGGCCTACACAGAGTCCTAACCTTAACCCGATAGAACACCATTGGGATGAATTAGAGCGGAGATTGCGAGTCAGGCCTTCTCATCCAACATCAGTAGCTGACCTCACAAATGCGCTTCTGGAAGAATGATCAAACATTCCCATATACACACTGCTAAACCTTGTGGACACCTTCCCAGAAGAGATGAAGCTGCGTGATAGCGGCAAAGGGTGGGCCAACTTAATATGGAACCCTACGGACTAAAACTGGGATGACATTAAAGTTCATGTGCATGTAAAGGCAGGCGTCCTAATACTTTTGGCAATATAGTGTATGTGCTGTGGTAGACTTCTTATTCATTTCAAGAAGCAGTGCTTCCAAGAATTTATGTTTGTTTTTTAACATAAAATGTTGACTAGATACTTAAAAAATATTTGGGTGTTCTTTCAGCTGTTGTGAGTTGCCAAGCAAGAAACCGAACTGAAGAGAGGGTAGAAGTGTTGTTAACTGGAGTTGTTCCTGGTCAGACAGCTATGACCGTATCAAGTCCTGATGTGAAATTCACAGAAAAGGTCGGCCATATACAAGAAGAAGTTCAAGTCAGCAACGGTATAGTTTTTCAACTATTATTTGGCATTTTTTGTCTTTTTTATGTTTTCATTATTACGTTTAAAAAAATATAAAATATACATTATGTGTTAGCGTGCTGAAAAGCATTGATATCTTAACAGAAGAAAAAGATAATTAGTTTTTTTTTTTTTTTTATCACTGACCACTATTTATTGTACCGGCACAGAAATGCCCCAAAAAGGAGACTTATTTGTTGAATGATAGACTACAGTGCATGCTGTCCACAATAGTTTCAGGCCTACTATACATTAGCATTCATGCTTAATAGCTAACTCTTTATCTAATTTTACATTTCACATTTCTGTTTGCTATTTGGCAAAGAACATTACTGTTTGCTATTTGAAGCTGTTCTAAATAAATGCAGCAACTATACATGCTATCTTAGGTTTAGGCAGATGCAGCAGAGTTACTTGGTTTACCCTTTTCTTATGCTATACCTGTTTCTTATGAGTGAAATCTATAGAGTCTCTACCAGAGTCCCCAGTTACCTCCTCTGCCACTGCCTTTTCAGGGGAGTCCCATTCTTCCATTTATATTGTTAATTTATGTTATTTTATTTATTGGTGATTGCAGCAGTAGGAGGGAGAAAGCTTTATTGTTGTAAGCATACTGCATGTCCATTTCAGAACTCATTATCACACTTGTGATAACAAGTTTTAACTAACTGCATAAATCAATCAATTTCTAGAATGGAAAATAAGTTAAAGAGGTTTCTGCTTTCTATGGTTAAAGAGCTGCTACTCTTTTAAAGCATGTTTTAATTCACAGGACAGGTGATAGTTCTGTAATAATTGTATTTGTTATAAAATAAGACTTATCAATATGAAGATTGTTGGTGGAAGTTAAGATTAATGCACAATTATGGGTGCTGTATATAAAAAAAGAGTGCTCACCAAAGGAAAAGCATACTAAATTAAAAATATTTTAATATCAATTGTAATTGGACAGAAGTACATTAAAGTGTATTTCCACTTTTGCAGTCAAATTTGAGGAAACCCCTTTATATGTGAATTATGTGTTCCTATTCACACAGCATAATGAAAAATACCTTTAAAAAAAATTCTTAGCCCTTTCACAGTGGTCTGTCCATATAGAAAGACCTGGGACTGAAATTTGAGGATTGTTTTTATCTGATATGCTTCATTAACATACATTGGGCAAGCCACCTTAGACCCCTCACAGCCCCTCCTAACATTTCAAAGAAATAGAACCTAGAAGAAATTATAACCCTTAAAACCCTAACCTAAGTAAAACAATTTAAACTGCAAGAAGCTTTTTTTTTTTTTTTTTTTTTTTAGCTTATGCTACATGAATGGAAACAAATATAATATAGGTGTTATCCCATTATGGCTGTGAAAGTGGAAATACACTTTAAAGAAGATCTGTACTAGGAGAAGTTTGGAGATAGAAACTGCTGACCTTTTTTTAACCCCTTCACAACCAACGACGTACAATGTACATCGCTGGCATCGGGGCTGTTTAAACAGACTCCCAGCAGCTTTTACGGTAGAAGTTATTCTGGCGATCGCTTCTACGGCAGGGTTAAGGGGTCCTCCCCACCCGACACCCCCGCCGTGTTTCCTGGGTTCTGTTGCCCCTCCTACGGGCCCGGGACCAGCTTCTCTATTGTCAGGGGGAAGCTGGGGAGGAGATGAACGAACCTCCGTTCGTCGATCCCTTCCCCGTTTTATGGGACCGGGAGCGATGCAGATTGCATCACTTCCGGTTCCTGGGCTGTCAGTGCTGGGCTCCTGAAGCCGGAGTGAGAGCAATAATGCTTGGGCATCTCTAAACTGATGACCTGTAGGGGCGTTTAAAGTGTCTATGGACTTTTTGGGGTACTGAATTTTGTTGCCGTTTCAAGGACACACACAATTTTAAACCTGGGCATGTCAGGTATCTATTTACTCGTTGTGACCTCATCTTTTATATTTTATTTAAAAATGGGTATTTTATGGTGTTTTGGGGCATTTAAGTAAATTCTTCACTAAATTTGGGGGTTTGATAAGGAGTTGCGCTAATATCGTGCAACATAAAAATTTGCAACTGCCACCATTTTATTCTATGGGGTCTTGGCTTTCAGGAAATATATAATGTTTGGGGGTTTTAAGTAATTTTCAGGCCTTAAATGTGGAATATAACATGGGTGCAAAAAAAATGAGAAAAAAAGGCCTCAGTCATGAAGGGGTTAATACTTGTCTGATTTTGGTTTTGATAGTTTGAGTCACTGGGGTTTATTTACTATAGGCAAATGGGCTGTCCACTTTGCAAGGGAGGTTTTCCTGTGATTAGTGAATGAGGTGAGGCTCTGCTAACACCCACCATTGGTTTTTTTAAGTGCCTTGTAATAATATTTACTTTTTATTCAGAGAGAAAATGTAACTAAACTACCACTTCCATAATCCTTAGGCTTTTATTGGTTGGGTTGTAGAAAATAGATAAGGACTCCTGAAATGTCAAACCATCAAGTAAATTACGATTTTGTATTTTAATGGCCCAGGGTGAATTAAAATGTTGACGTTCTTCAGAATAAAACCCATGACCTTACTGTTACAAGGTAGCAGCTTTACTGGGTGAGCCACTCGTTCTGACTCTTCAGAATCAGATTTATATTCAAGTGAGTCAGAGGGTTTTATATGAAACAAACTGCTCATAACTACCATTCCTATGGTAAGGAATATTGAAAAAAAAATACTTAAGGACATAATGTTAACTCTTATAGATAAGGTCTTAGTCCCATAACCCTTCCAGTACCCTAACTAAAGGCAGAGTCTGAGGCACATTAAAATGTATTTGGGCTGTGGATCATTAGACATTTTGATTGCATGTGGTCTAGGACATATATTAAAGACAAGGGAGATGGAACTGGATCCAATTTAATAAGTCTGTTGCAATAAAAAAATATGTATGTAAAATAAAAATATAAGTAAGATAGCAAAACTAAAACTCGTAACTGTGATTATGTTAATGAACAAAACTGCTGTCTAATAACATAAATTCTTTCCAACAGTTTTTGTTTGCCCCAAGAAAATAATTTCACTGTTCCTTTGATTTATGTGCCAATGTCTGCACAAACAGTGACAACTCTATGGGGTTATTAATTAGTGCCCTTTGGTGTAGATTTGAATGCTACTAGTTTGCCATCCCATGTAATATTAATGTACATCCGCATAGCATGTGGATTTTCATTGTGACTGCAGTTAATTACACTTGTTGCTCGAGCTAATAAATTCAGAATACATTTCTACTTTATGCTCCTGCAGTATTGTATTTTATTTAAACAAGCCTCCTTGGTTCTTTCTGAGCACTAAACAGAAATTATGCTATGGGTTTTAGATCCTTTTGATGCCACTGCAATAAAACTTGTTTATGAATTCCAATGTTTAGATGAAGAGGCAGGTATTGATTTGGAACATGACATTCTTCCAGGCTAAGAGACGAATAATGGAATGCTCTGACACATAAGAATCCAGAACCATTTAAAATGTTGACACATTCTATTATACAGTTGGTAGCATTATAATAGCATTAGTAATATATAAATTGGAGGCTTGTCATAAAATCATCTATAGCATTGTAATATGTTGTTAGTTACCATTTCAACATGTCTAATAAAATTTGCTGCACCACTGGGAAAGTAATGTGTAATCACATATGTGCTATATGTAATAAGTGTTACCGTATGAGTTTATGTCAAATCTTCATAAGACATATGTATATAGTTTTATTTCTTGTTTTAAATATTTCCCCTGAGGTGTTGATAGCTTGTAGGGAAATAAAGTCTTTGTTGTGCTTATCACTGTGGAGGGGAGTGCCAGGCCCAATGAATTGCAAATAGGGTCATTGTTGAGCCCAGGCATGTCCAGATAATTACCATAGAGGTGCAACTTCAGTATCCTGTGTATGAGGAGCCAAGACCCTTTGATCTAATAACAAGTAGACTGGCCAATCGTAGAGAGGGGTGTGGAGTTGTAAAGAGGGTCTTGCAAACTCTCCAATCCCCAGTAGGCCTTGGGAGGCAACCAATGGGAGACTTGTCATGCATCTCTATGGACACAAGGGCTATATTAATGACTGGAAAAAACAGCTCGGTCTCTTTTTCACCAGGATGGGGCCTCATGTGACGATTAATGGGTAACTATACATATAATCTTTCCCCCACTTAACTGTATGTCTGTTTGTCGGTTAGATACCAATGTCTGGGTATTTGGCATGTTTAAATCTTTTCTTTGTATGTTGTAGTTAAATAGATTGTTGGTTCATTGTATTTAAGTCTTGATACTATATACCAATAAATTCTGTTATTGTGTTGAGCTCAAAAATCTCATGAATGAATCCTTAGAATCTCAAACCTGTAAGTGTGAATGCTTATATAGCGGTTCATAACTTAAAATAGTAATTCAGGTAACATTAGGTAATTTTACAGTTTATAAATGGGGTGGATTCATTGTAAAGTATATACATTCAAACAGTCACATTTGAAGTTTCATACTCATTAAGTAAACAATAACCTCTTGAGATGCTCACATCAGGCAACACTGATTAAGTAAACATAATTTAATGAAGTGTGGAATATTAATTTGTGGGTAAATAACATGATACAATTATTGAGATTACAGTGTAAGATTAAACATATCTGTGTATCATGGCGGCTATTTTATGAATGCTAGTGGAAACAAATTGCCTATGTTGCCTAAATCACCCAATCAGGTACATTAAGCTATGCTATAAGTGAGTTCTCACTGGTTACTGTATTTTTTTTTACTTTGTCACTTCTGTAAGCACAACCCCCAAGGAGCAGAAATATGAGAAATCAGGGAAGCTTACACCAGTTCAGATTTACCATGTTTGTTTAACTTGTCAGTCCAAAGAGCTAAAGCAACTGTAAGCAACTTTCATTTTATGCATGGTAAGGTGCATGGTGTCTTATGATCTAAAGGTCACTAGTCACATCCACAGGGCAGGCTAGGCCCCTTTAT